ACCAGCGGTGCGATTTGAAAATGGAAATGAAGTGCTGAGAGAATTAAGATTGGATCCTGGTATAAGTCAACGCCAAATATCCCGTAATCTCGGGATTCCAAGGTCGACGGTGCAACAAATCATTAAAAGAAAGAAATATCACGCCTACCACGTGCAAAGGATGCAAGCTTTGGCGCCTGGTGACTATGAACCTAGAGTGAGGTTTTGCAGAGAGATGCTAAGATATCACAGAGAGGATCCGCAGTTCTTCAACAAGGTATTATGGACGGATGAATCAAATTTTAGAAGAATGGGAGTATTTAATATCCACAACCTACATTTTTACTCCAGAGTGAACCCCCATATCATAAGAAATGATCGATTCCAGCATCTGTTTGGTATAAACATGTGGGCTGGTATAATTGGCCAGCAGTTGGTGCTGCATGAAATTCCAGCAAGGCTGAATGGTGCTCTGTATTTAAATTTTTTACAAAATAATTTAAACCGAATTCTTAACGAAGCTGAGGTTCCAGAAGCAAGAATAGCAGAAATGTGGCTGCAACACGACGGCACCCCGCCTCACTACGCTCGAGCAGTTCGAGATCATTTGAACGAGCGCTTCCCCAACCGGTGGATTGGTCGAGGCGGACCTATTGCGTGGCCACCCCGGTCGCCCGATTTAAATCCATTAGATTTTTTTCTTTGGGGCTATTTTAAAGAAATAGTTTATCAAGGAGAGAACAATAGCGAACAAGAGTTACGACAAAAGCTCGAATTTGCTAGGGTGCAAGTTATTAACAACAGAGGTGCATTCCGTAGGTTACGTAGGAATTTTATTAGACGGTGCAGATTATGTGTTATGGTCAGAGGTAGGAATTTTGAGCATTTATTGTAAAATGTTTTCTTTTATTAAAACAATTCTTTCACAACCGTTGTTTTGTTTTTTCGTCCTAAACCGATATTAGAGCCACTCATGGCCATGTGTAATACCTTTTCAGAATCCCTATTAAATGCGCCAAAACTTGTAGTACAGGGTCACTTTTCGGTAGAGTATTTTTTTTTACACAGTGGGTTCCGAAGTAAATACAAAAGTTATGATTTGAGAAAAAAGAATTCATAAAACTTAATATTTTCTTTAACACACCCGATAAACAACCATAAATAGTATGTCTAACGCAAGGACTCATCTGTACCAATCTACTGAAAATTATAAAAAAGATACAGGTGTAAATTTTTTCGAATTTTTGTAAGAATTAGTAAAAAAAGTCAATTTTCTCATAAAAACACAAAATAAATTATAACTCTGCAGGGGTTGACCTTAAGGACCCCCCGTAGAACAATTTTTTGCAGCTGATGACCTCATCTAACCCCTAGTTGCGTTTGATCCACGACTTTTTGGCCACCCTGTATACTGTGAGCAATGCGGCCGCGGCACTGAGTATGCACTCAGTGTCGCAAACATGAACCAGTGCAAACATATCGGCATCTTACAAAACATATAGGTACATATATCGAATAACTAAGTCCCGAAGATTAGTTCTAAAAAAGTTTTCTAATTATCAGTTGTTAGTGAGTCATTGAGTTAATGCATACCTATGCTGTTAACACTTAATAAAGCGAAATATTTCAGTAAAACGTAAGTTAGCAGCATATTAACAGTTTCGAAAATTCTAATTTAGAGGTCATTCATCACCATATTGCTGGGTTTTAATGTGTATTTATAAATAATAAAACCATTCTAAAAATTAAGCTAAATTAGGTTCATTAAGGTACAAAATTTGATAGCGGTGCTGAAACCCATAGCCAATTGAGCAATCTTAGAAAGAATATACACGACAAAACGAAAGTTTAACAACCACTGCCATATTTGTAACAGGTAAAGATAGAATAAAATTCATCTGATTTTCATACACGTGGAGAAACATCGTATCTCGATTTACAGTGATCTTAGCCCTGTTTGGATCTGCTTTATCTGGCTATAATCTCATAAAACTTAGTATTCAGACAAAATAATAATAATAGAAGCTATATTCTCGCTAAAAATCACAAATAAAAGTGATGGGGAAAGACTGGATGTACAAAAAAACAAAAAATATCTTGTTTTATAAAATGCCGCGCAGCACGCGTCCTACTTAGCTTGCTACATATATATTTATCTATGGTCCTACTTCCCGGAACGAATGGCGGAAACTTGGGGTCGGGTATGGAGAATTAAATGGCGTCGTGTACCATACTACTAGCTTTTCAAAATATAGCATAATTCGCCGGGAAATTTGAATATTACGGTCTTGCCCCATCACCGATCTTCCCCCAACACACTTTATACTTGAGATAATACCTATATAAAATAAAATTAAAAGAAACTGAAGCAGATGGAAGCCATCCTGGACTATAACTAAACTACCAACACAATGTCAGTTTTATTCGCTAGAATAGTTCCATGTATGATAATAACCTCAACTCAATAGAGCCTGGCGCAATTATTTACGAGCTTCCGCCGAGTACTAATAAGGCAGTTTCCGATAGACGAGACCATATTTCATATCAAGCTTGTGGTGTTGGATCCTGGCTACTGAGCTGTGTCTGTTCAAATACTCTGGGTTACAAAGCATAAATCGGAGATATCAAGTGATTCGCCAGGATGAAACAATTCGGCAGATGTCGACGGTGTCATCCTTTATCACGTATCTCAGATAATTGGTCATAAAAACCTGATCCAATATTGCAGAGACAAACCCCCCAATGAGGTCACTGGAACGTAGTAGTGGAGGGAGGCAATAGTGCCTACAAAGGTTCATGTAAGCCTTGTAGAACCTCATGTGGAGCTAAGATAAGATAACGACGGCTGTTTTCCGCAACTCCACGTCTAAACGCGTATTTTGCGTGTGGGCAGGAATAATGCAATTATTCGAGCCATAAAATCTCCGTGAAGATGTTCGACAGCCCTTTGATGTGCGAGCTACCTCGGGGAGTGATCTCAGCGTGCCAAGATGTTAAGCCCTGTATGCAGCGACCTCCGGACATGTCAGCAACACGTGGGCTGGCGTTTCTTCCTTCCCCATACATGACCTGTACAGGGGACTATCTGTAAAACCTATGGTAAATAAATGTTTGTTATAGGAGCATTTCCTGCGTGTTACTATTCTGATCTGTGGCTTGTTCAATCTCATTACAACCTTGGTTATACAACTGTTTATTTCAGGCCACCCTAGCTGTATACAGTCTACTAAGTCTTTACAAAGCAGAGAGTGTTCGTTAGAAAAGTTTTTACATACCAGTAAGCGAACATTACCAAAGGGGATTGGTATGATTGTTTCCGGCACCATAGTGGAGCTAATTGTACGTCCATTCGGTCTCCTGGCTTTAAATGCTCTGTACTGCCAGGGTTTGACTTTTTTTATAGAATAAAGGTGATAAACGAGCACGCAGTCCACCTGATGGTAAGTGGTTGCTCTGGCCCATAGACATTTACATCTATCTTCGTTTGCGAATTAAAATGCGAAGTGAGATGGCCTGTGCTCAGCAGTGGGACGTATATAGGCCGTAACTTTACTTTATATTAACATTTACAATACAATTCTTTATTTCAGGCATCAAGTACTTAAAAATTAAGAACATTGGCCCATTGTAAAATATAACTTTACTTTTTTATATATAATAAGGGTGATAAACGAGCACACAGTCCACCTGATGGTAAGTGGTTGCTCTAGCCCATAGACATCTACATCTATCTTCGTTTGCGAATTAAAATGCAGATGCGTTGTCAGCCGTGAGGACTAAGATAGAATGCCTCTTTTCCAGTAAAATTGGTTTCCAGTTCTCTACACTCACTGCAATTTTACGCTGGTATTCTATTCTGTGAGAGCGTGGTTCTTCCCTGGTCGAGCCGACCATTTTGTGCTACAACTATACTAGCTTGTTAGGTAAGAATAGGTTATGTTCACATGTTAACGCATGTGAAGTCAATAATGGGTCTCCACAATTTGTATTACTATTAGAGCACTAATTTCATTTTCTTATCATTAAGTATTCTGTGATCTAGTCCGAGGGATATAAAAAGCTCGTATATATCAGGCTGTGAACCATTTAAATGAAGCATGAGTTAAAAAATGCAACTTGAGTTGGATATTTAATAAAATCAATCCATTATGGTTTACAGCTGGACTATGAGTCTTTCTCAGTTTAGCCCATGATTCATCATATAAAAACAATTGTAAGATGAAGCTTTTCATTGTTAATTATTTTATATACTTTTTGTTATCCGTTTATTTTGTAACTCTCATCATGGCTAATGGCTTCCGAAGTGGCAATGGGCCGGCCATTTAGCTCAAAGAACCGACAACCGATGGCAAAGAAAGGTTTTCGAGTGGCAGCCTCGTACCGACAGGAAAAGTGTAGGGCGTCGCCCCACTAGATAGAGTGACGACCTGGTAAGACTTGGAGGAAGTCAATGGATGCAGGTAGATTGTGACCGTGCTTTGTGGCATTCCTTGGAGGTCTATGTTCAGCAGTGGACTTATGATGTGCTGCTGTGATGATGATGATGATCTGTTTATAATTATAACTAAATTTTGCATGTGGGGTTGAAGGTTTTTAAAAACTACAATTATGTCTCAATGATGTTTATTACTATTACATTACAATAAGAGCTCTACTAACTTCCTAAACTAGCTGATTACATTACTATGATGAGGAATTGAATAAAAATTTAAATAAAATCTTTCATATGGTAGTCAAATAAATCTGTTTACTATAACACCTTGCTTTGACTAGATATAATAATTAGAAATGGAGTTGTGTCTTCTGTAACAATATACTTCATAACATGATTACTAGTAATATAGTAGGTATCAAAACTTTGTACAATTTATAGTCAACGTGTTGTGATATTATGGCTACATGCAAATATCAGAATATAAGAATCATACTCAATAATTTAAAAAAAACAACGCAAATTAATTTACAATTTTTATTATGACTAAAATTACAATGTATATAAATAATAATTCCTAGATATATCATCAACTTTTGGAACTTTCCGCATTTTTCTTGTGCTTTTCAATACAGTTTCGGAAATCGTTTACCTCATTCTGGCACCTTCTCCAGTCCTTTGTAGTAGCTATGCATTCCTGAGAAATTACATAAATACATACAATTAAATACATGCCTATAAAAATAAGGTCTATAGATATGGATAATAATTAGTGTATGTCAAATCATTAAATCCAAATCACTTGAGGAAGAGAGGAAATGAACATAAACAACACAGATCATATGCATTGTCACCTCTTAACACTAAGATGGAATGCCTCACAAACTGTAATTTTACTGGCTGGCTCTCTATATCCTTCAGTTCAGACTGGAACAAAAGTGTAAGCTCTCTTATTTGGCAGCACAAATAAAACGTTGGTACATACGTATAGTGCGTACATATAGTAGTTTATCAACCAGTACATTTTAAAATAAAAATTTACAAAAAATATAATTAGATGAAAAGTGTATATGCAAGTCAGTACAATATATTCAGATAATTACTTGAACTTTATAATGCAGTTCTAAACAGCCGCTTTTCTTTAACATAGATTCAACAGGATCTTCGTCGCTCTCTGCAAGTTTTTCACGCGTTCGTATAGTCATACTGTTGTATTTATATTCACCAAGAACTAAGAATCACTATGATATATTTATTTTTAAAATTTAACCAACTTTTTTGTAAACGAATCCTTCACCTGCCTGTACATACAACTTTATAATTTTAATTTGTGCCTTCACCAACTAACCTATTGTTCAACTATTGTTGTTGTTGATTTTACTTTTTATTATTCGCTCGACAGAGCAGGCAAAGGAACTAAGCCATACAGCCTTGTCTTTTTTATATTATCCTTCATAGTTCACTGCTTCACAATATGTTGATTGATGCGTCACATTGTGCAGCCCTTAGGAGATTTTGACGGCAACTTGAGCCAGCAGACAGCTGATAAGTGGCGATGGTATCTAAAGGCGCCTATGCAGACAAACAGCTTATCTTGAGAATTTCATCACATGGATTTTATAAATATTAACGCTAAATGTTTGTTTATAAATCTGTTTCGTGTTTTTGTCTTAATTAAATTTATTTTAGAGAATATTCTTTCGCATGTTGAATCCATTCATATTTTTTTGATGTTTACCAGTAGTGGCATGCTCCTTTAAAGCGGACAGCCGGGGTGCCAATTCTAATAATATCGTTCGTCGTTCGTTTCTAATAATTCTTTATAACTATCGTACATGAAATACGACAAAATGTTATGACTATGAAATCTAATGCGATACCAAACTAAAGTACGCATCTTTTAAGAGTAATTGAAATATTAGCCAACTCGTGTTAACTCGTTTTAAGATTATTAATTTTATACACAACATTTTTTAAAGTTGTTTATTGAATGTGATACAAACATAATACGAGAAACCGAGAAATACAGGGAAATCCCCACCATGCTTGCGAAGTATCTAGGGTTGCCATTTTTGTCATTTTAAGTTGCCACAATGAAATATATTTTAATACCTCAATACTGCCAGGTCTTATAAAACGTCAACCGATCATGAAGAGGCCAATCCTGCCAAAATGGCAGGAACCTGCAACTTATGGTCACACTGGTGAGGTGGCTTGCTACATATTTATCTATGCTCAAACACTGTAACACTGACATAGTGACAGTTGGATGTGCAAGTAGGGTTGCCATCTGTCCGGCTTTAGCCGGACATGTTTGGTTTTTTCGGGTTGTGTCTGGCCAAATTTTTATGTGTCCGGCCTGTCCGGCTTTTTGTTAGTGTAACGCGTTGCACGCATCGCTTGCAGAATAAATAAATAAGTAACGTATACACTTGAAACTGTGCTGTGATTGATTAATAAACAATTAAGGTATATAACGGAGTATTTTAGTTTTTTTTCTCGGAGGGTTGGAGTTGGTGAGATTTTGGCTGCATGGCCTCAGAAAGGTATGTTTGGCTTTCTAAAAATTACTGTCCGGCTTTTAGGGGGAAAAGTCCGGCTTTTTTGAGCGCTGAGTCCGGCTTTTTCATTTTAGGAGATGGCAACCCTATGTGTAAGTAAAGACCAAACATTTTTAGGTCATTGTATGGAGTGTTGATGTATATACTTATTATACTCTTTGATGGAGTTTAGAGGTAAGGAGAACCATCTCTGTGTATGAGTAGGTGTTCGTAAAAACGAGTAGCATAGGATAAATTTTAAAGAAAGCACCAAAAGTAATGAGGGCTAATAATTTTCCACTCACCAGATGTCACTAACCGTGACTGCGGTGAAGTTTTTTGTAACGCAATGTTAGTTAATTGAGAAATTAATTTTAAATAATAGTTTATCATTATCTAGAGTGTTATAATAATAAACACACTGCATCAGTGGTTTTATTTATAACTAGCTGTTCCCCGCGACTTCGCCCGCGTGTTTTATGGGGTTTTAATTTTTTTTTGGGCGGAAGCCTAATTCTCTTTCTGTAATAAAAGTAGCCTAAGTTACTCCTTGTGACATCAGCTATAAGCCAGTGAAAACCCCGTCAAAATTGATACAACGTTTCGGAGATTAGCCAGAACAAACAGACAGACTGACACACAGACAGACAAAAACTTTAAAAATTGTATTTTTGTCATTAGCACCGTATATACTAGTATATGCATTTAGTAAAAAGCTGTAATTTTGACATTACATATACATTTATATAGTTTGGTTTATTTATTTCTAATCTAATTAATATAAAACATAATAAATAATACGGAAAGAGTTATTAATGTTAACCACTGACCTCTATATACACAAGTACGCTGGACTATCTATGCCATACAAAATGCTTATGTCGATTTGAAGCGCCATCATTGTCCGTACCGAGAACTAAAATTGACATAATATGCCAAAGTCTGTTGTATGTATTATATCATATCCCTGTATTTTGAAATTTAAACTAAAAAATGAAAGTATTTTATGTGGTTTGATTATGTTTGATTTTAGTTACATAATAAGAATTATTTTGGAAAGACTTTCCATTGACGTCAGTCGAGTTTGGTGTTGTTACGTATTTTTACAGAAAGATTACATTTTTATAAGCACACACACAAAGATTCAATATGCGGAAACACGTAATTATTGAGAAAAAAATATTGTAAATCAAATAATTTTGCAATATTTAGTCAATTCCTACCGTAAAACTGACGCCATTTTTATTATTATTGTCAGTAGGGATGTCGATTCTTTCCGAAAAAGATCGATTTTTTTAAATAGATTCAAATCGTAAGCTGATGTATCGATTCCCAAAATATCGATTTCTAAAATATCGATATTTTTTTCATGTTTGCATTTATAATGTAAATATAAATCCATTTTATGAGAAAAAAATCCACTTCATCATAAAAAAATAAGGGGACTGATTCAGAAGGATTTCTGTATCTATTTTGAGACTGCTACGTCTCCAGCGCTGCGGGAAGAGCAGCCTCTACGCCTTAGCGTAACAAATCGCAGGCATCCCTCCTCGCCTCCGCTGCTTCGGCTTGTTGGTCGCCTTCGGTGACCAGCCTCAGCCGCTCCGGCTCGTCCGATGCCTACGATTTGTTATTATATTGCTGCTCCCCCTATGCGCCTCCGGCTCTATAAAACCACTCTAGGGGTAGGACAGACTCGTACCAGGTGAAGTCGGGGTCAATCAATTCGGTTCTTTGACATAAGTTGAACCTAACCTATTTTATTTATCTGCCCTAATAGGTACTGTAAAATAAAACAAATTTCAATAAGAGATCATTTATCATGGTATCTTTCTTGTTTTTCATAAAATGGGTTTATATTTACATTATAAATAGAAACATTAAAAAATATACATATTTTAGAAATCGATTTTTTGTGAACCGATACATCAGCTTACGATTTGAATCGATTTAAAAATCGACCTTTTTCGGAAAGATTCGACATCCCTATTGACGTCGACAATGACATTACAAAATGGCGCCAGTTTTATGGTAGGATTAGACATAAACATTGCAAGAATAATTGATTTTCCATAATTCTTTTCTCAAAAATTACGCGTTTCCGCATGTTGAAACTTTGCGCGTGTGCTTATAATAGTGTAACTTTTCTGCAAAAATACGTATCAACACTAAACTCGACTGACGTCAATGGAAAGCTAAACCATTATTTTTAGTAATAATGAGTGTGCGTAATATCTAAAACTCATTACCAAAAGGAAAGTGAAAACATTCCACAAGTGAGTTTGCAGCTAATATTAAGCAAATTAAAAGTATTTGATAATATAGGTACTTAAAAATTTGTTTCTAATCTTAATATCGTTATTACCAACATGTATGTCTTTATATTCTTAATTTTAATAAACAATGAAATTCAATAGGGTTGTTGAGTTTCTTGTCTATAATACTTATAGATGTTCTTTTCTACCCATATCTGTTCACAACCAACCTGTCTAGAACTAGAACACAAAAATTGCACAAAACTTGTGAATTGGCATCCGAAACAAAATGATTATCTTTATTCTAAACACTTCACAGACGACTGTTTTATTAGACATGAGAAATGCACCACTTTCAAAAAGTGCAGTATACCCACAATATTTTCTGGTAGTACCAGTACCAGTAAGTATAAAAGTATTAGATTATTATTTCGAATGTTTTTTATTTTTTCTCTTCTTATTTTCCCGCAGACTCAAGGGCCATAGCCAAGTGTAGAAAGGTCACCTGATGATAATTTTGTGTTTACAAGACGTAAGTTTGTTAAACCTGTATAATTATTGTGACCAATTGATTGTATCAAGGGAATAGATTTATATTGGAACTGCAAAATTATTAATGTCCTTAGTGAGTTTGCGTGAGTTTAGGTGAGAAATAACTCATCCTCAATGGATTCCCGCCTTGTTGTGGCGGGGGAGGGGGGAGGGGGAGGTTAGTAGTCGTGGCTTGGTAACCCATGGTAAATGTAGGGCGACTCACATGGCTAGACCGAAGTGAAGGGCTGGCCCAAGGTGTGAACCTCATTTGAAACCCGGAATAAAATCCGTTCTGTAGTTACGAATAAAAATATTGATAGATCAACGCAGCGTCAATTCATGTTTTGTATGAAGTATAAAGCTTGCGTCTAAGGCCTAGGTATTAATTGATACATTTATTTATTGTATGGCATTATATTAATATGATACATAAATAGAATGGATGTTACGGGAGATGCTGGGTATAGAAGTCTTATCGATATATTTTTTCACACTGTCTTATCTCTATTATTAGTTCCTTGGACGTTCGCTTCTGCAGTCAGCGCCAAAATGGCGAAAATCAAATCGCCTCATTATGTCACGGTTATAGCCAGTCCATAAATAGAGATCAATGGATTTTATAAATAAGCTGTAAATCTATACAAATAAATAAAATTGAAGTGTCTATTTGTAATGTCGAAATAACAGCATCAACAAGCGAGTTATTCAACGGTTTATATCATTAAATTATGTAAATAAACAAATACATCGTCAACAATAGTTATAGTTATTGTTCAATTGTTCAAAATAACTAATAATTATTTAAAAAGTCATACTAATAAAATCACGTTTTCTCACAGCAGTTTTTTTTGGTTATATTTCCTAAATTATTTTAGATTGGTTATATTTACTAAATTATTTTAGACTAGCTGTTCCCCGCGACTTCGTTCGCGTGTTACGGTTTTTATGTTTTTGCGCGGAACCCTAATTCTTTTTCTAAAATAAAAGTAGCCTAAGTTACTCCTTATGAAATCAGCTATCTGCCAGTGAAAGTCCGTCAAAATCGGTCCAGCCGTTTCGGAGATTACCCGGAACAAACAGACAGACAGACAAAAATTTTAAAAATTGTATTTTAGTTATAGGTACCGTATTTACTTTCATATGCATTTAGTAAAAAACTGTAATTTTGACATTCCTTGGAGGAGGCATATGTTCAGCAGTGGACTTGTCATGGGCTGTAATGATGATGATGATGATGAAGTAAATAGTTGAGGTTTTGTATACTGGTATTTTACTAACTACTCTAGTCATGAAAAATTTTAAATATTTGAACTCAGCACACTTCACTCCGTCTACAACGGTTATGTTATATCGTAGTTTTTCAGACGCCAGCGTTATTCTGGTGGGTACTAGAACCTCTATTTTCAGTATAAAGATGGACACTTTTTCAATCTTCCCACTATATCGGACGGTTCTCCTTACCTATACACTCCATAGGTCATTGGTATACTAGTACTACAGATTCAACTGTCATATTTCATCTTGTTATATGTTCGAAGATCGATGTGACTGTAATGCTGACAGATTCTACAACCACGGACACGGATAAACACCTACAAAAACGTGACCACGGATTTACACATAATAAACAGCATAATGCGGATGCGGAGATGATGATCGGATCTGTAATAATGACAGATTCTACGACCACGAAAAAACCACAAAACGAACGATTGAATAAATACTCTTTTATCACGGAATTGCCCATACAGAGCCGTGCTCTTAGACTTTGTCTGTGATCTTCATAGTCTAAATATTATCTTCAACTGTGTGTAAACACTAACGACGGTATTTTTGAGTTTCTAGACATTAAATAATTTTTATTAGCAAATATACCCCAATTATCACGTATATACCAGCGTGAATTAGAAGTATTTATTGAGGGGGAGACAACTCCGCTCTGTAAGGTGTAAGTAGGGGCACGAAAGTCTAGCGGTGACCGTTATTGCGCATAAGTCAAAAATAAGGTATGATTGGGTAGTAAGCGGGTCGCTTGGCGGGCGTGCGTCGTCGTGTGCATCACACGCCCTGTTTGGGTCTCCAGTCGCATGCGTGTAATTCAATTCGTGCGTGACAGTACCCATGCGCAGCTATCCCTGTCACGTTTCGTTCAGCACTAGACTTAGGTGCCGCGACTTGTATGTAACTCGAGGTAAACAGCAAAATCGATACGCTACCCTCTCCCACGCTCGTCGTGATTTTGTTGGTCTCTCTGTCTCTTAACTGATTTATCTTACCCTGGTTACAAATTGGAACACTCTTATGTTCCTCGGGGTGTAGTATTTGTATACGTTAGAAAGGATATTTGTTTTCGACGCCTCGGTAGTCTTGAAGGCAGTGACTTGTGCAACCCCGAGGTTCAAATTTTGCCTACGCATAGACAACAACGACCAACCCCGACCCCGCGTCTATGGGTGACTGTAAAGGTGCTCCTTGGCGATTTCAACGCCCACCACGCTGAATGGCTCGGTTCTCGAACTACTGATCATGCGAGGAGATCTGTTCCGGACTGATCATTGGGATATAGTCTCACACAACTGGTCACTTCGCCCAGTCGGATACCAGATGTGGGAGATCATGTGCCTGACCTCCTTCCGATCTCTCATCGGATGACTATCAGGTGTCCGTTGGGGGATGGGAAATTATTTTCAGATCGGCTTGATCCACTGGTTTTGCGAAGAGACACTGCATCTTTGTTCATCTTCTACGCATATACCACGGAGTGTTCAGAGGAATTGTTCGAATTAATTATAATAATAAATATACAATAATAAGATAAAATGCAACAACTTATTGTATCAAATCTAAGAAATAAATCTATGTCTATACAAATAAATAAATACAATTGAAGCGTCTGTTTGTAATGTCAAAATAACAGCTTATTATAATCCATATGAAATTATAATATGACAGTTCGTATAAAAAACTTGTCTGTCCGTCTGTTTGTTTCGGCTAATCTCCGAAACGGCTAGACCAATTTTGATAGGACTTTCACTGGCAGATAGCTGACGTTTTGAGGAGTAGCTTAGGCTATTATTATTTTAGAAAAATAATTAAAACCCATGAAATTTTTAACAAAATCTGATGCAAATAGGGAAGAATGGTAATAAATTACTAAAACCTATGCCTACAAAGTCGATGGCATAACTATTATAAAATAATAATATTGAAAATAAAACCGCCTGTATTTTTTATTTTTGAATATTTCAAAGGTTCGATTTGACGAAATTTGTACTTGAAGGAAAATGAAACAGGAACAGTACAGCAACATCTTCCTAACAGGAAGCACAGCACAGCCCAAAATAATTAACAAATTGCGGTAGCCAAACCGCCCGCCAAGTATGGCAAGTGAAGCAATTAATTAACGTAATTTAATAAGAGAATGAAAATATTTTTGCCCTTTGGTTTACAAGTGTACTTTTAAGGGTGTTAAAATTAAAATCACATGCTATAAATAAAAAATTTATTTAAAAAAATCTGTATTCATAATATAAATACTAAGATAACTACGCTAAGATTTTGGTTTTGTTGAGCAGTGCGACATAGGCAATGAGGACCGACAAAACAGTGGCCAGCGCCTCAGAGTTCACCCAGGGACCAGAGTAGCCTGTAAATAAAATATTTTTAGTCAGTGCATCAAATTTATAAATTAATTAGACTAAAAATGGTAGGTACTAAGATATATTTCACATACTTATTGCTTTTTCTTTATACAGGGTTATTTTTCAAAGACTAGCCAAATTTAATAATAAAGTTCAAAATATAAATATTGATATACACTTTTCGCAATTTTTAAAAATACGCGTAAATACGGTTTCTACATTTATTTGAAAATATTCCGAAATTGAATGTGATTTATGGGCAACAACTACAGCATACGCGCGCTCCTCTGTGTGCGAGTAAATGCACGGAGCTTTTGCCTACTATTTATTTCCATAATTACACGCTCGCTTTTTATAACTACGCGACGCGAACTATGATTCCAATTTTCCCTTCATACTTTAAACGGGCTTAGGACAATCATAATAAATAAAATTAAAAAAATTACATTTCAACGACGTAAAGTGACGTGACTGTATATATTATAGCGTATTTAAAAAAATTGGAATCAAGTATTTACAACTATTAAAAATTTTAAGTACACGTATAAACACAATAGTATAATAAATAATAATAATTGGTGCTAGTGCAGAGGTTTCGCTCGAAAAACTAAATCACTGCGTTTTCGACAGCCAGGCTTATTATTGAATGACCACCTCGAAGCACTTCCATGTGACGGAGTGGTGAACTGTCCAAAGTCTAACAGCCTTGGTTAACTGCATAAATTATTCTCCGATTGGGTGGTACGTGTACGTGAATTCCTTGTCTTTTCAAACTCGGTAATGACTCACTTTCGTATAATATTTGCGCACCACGTAAACTTTCATTGCATAAAATGTTACAGTTCTTTTTTTTAAATTCGAGGTTCATATATTTTCGTTACGAAATTAACCTACGAAATTTTAAAAAACGTTGGAATCTTAATTTTTAGGCCCTAGTAGAACATACCTAGCGCTTTGCGCTTACGGCATGCAAAATAGGATATTGGTACGTTATGAGGTCACGGTCAAGCGATATGAATAAAATGTTTGTCTGTCTATTATTTTTACCTCCTCTTCCATAATAAAAAAACAAGTCAGTATAATCTAGTCTGGCAAACTACCTCAATTAAAAGTAAGAGTTAATACTAACTGCCAGGATGTTGAAGCTGAATAGCCAGCAGAGGTGCAACATTGGCGTTGGGATCTGAGCGGCGAGCGCGACGCAATGCAGCCCAGCCTTCTTCATCTAAAATGCGAACTTCGTGGACGCCCGAACGCGCAGTTGATGGCTCTTCCGTCCATGATACCTGAAATATAAATTATTAATAAACTCAACACAAAATGTTAAGCTGACAGCAAAGTAACAGGTGTGACTGTGATTTGTACATGATAGAGCAACGCTGCAGCTATATTGTGACTGCAACACAAATGGTTTGGCTGATCGAACTGGGGTGGGACCACACTTTCTCAGAATACCAACGTGAAATAGCAGTTCAATGATGCTGTATTTAGTATGGTGAGTGGAGACAATCAGAGATTTTACTAATAACGTGGCATTGCATCTTAGTCCTCAGAGGTGACAACGTATTAGCATTTTGATTCTTAATCAAGGACAAATGTAGATGTCTATGGGCCGAGGCATTCACTTTCTGTGATGAAATGTGTGCCTACTTGACACTCTTATTGTAAAAAAGAAGTTTTGGTAGCATAGTGGCTAAGCATTTTGAGGCGCCGCTGCAAGGTTCTAATCCTGTGTAATACAAGTGTTTATATATCCTACAAATAATTGTTATCTTTGTATATAAAACACCTTGACAATATAGAAAACCCTTAGTGTGGAGAAAAATATTTTTTCTTAAATTAAGAAAATAAGTGGAAAGTGGTCTCAGGAATGGTAATAATTAATTTAAAAAAGAATACTAGTGATGCTATTAACAATAACAAGGGACTATAGGCTTAAGCAACTTAAAAGTGAACCAATGGTTCAAATCCTCCATTCAACTACTCTTGTGAACACATACTCAAGCATTTTTATATGGAGTGGGAATATTAGTAATGTTAGCCATTTCATGCCAGCAACACACCCATGTGCGCTTAGTACAAGTTTCAATAAAATATATATTTTTTTATAGTGCTTGCACTAAATGTTGTCATTTTTTATTTTACCGCAATCTATATAATATTTCTCACATAGTAACACTTTGATAGTACGAAGAGAAATGTAACTTTTAAACTGACACCAGTTTTTGTATAAGTAATTTTTGCTGTAATTTATACACTAGTTTTTATTGTTGTTTTATCTTATTTAGTCTTTTTTCTATTACAAAAACGTTCCCAAACAATTTGTATTAAGTAGAAGATACAATTAAAAGAAACCAGCTAGCAGGAGGGATTAAGCCCAAAGGAGCTGTCTGTAGTTTTCACTGATGGTTCTAAAACAAATGTAGGTGTAGGATCTGGAACATTCTCTGAAGAGGTTAATATCTACATATGCACACCGCTGGGTACCCACAACACAGTCTTTCAGGCGGCTTTTTTTTTTATAGAAGAGGGGGCAAATGAGCATGCGGCTCACCTAGTAAAACGCACAGTTGTGAACTGCCAAGCATCCAGATGGTGAGGATGATATCTTGAATGTATGCACCAGGAATGTATGAGTATCATTCAAGCGTTCATAGGAATAAATGCTAGGAAGGTAAAAGACTTCTCCATCAGAATATGGCCCGACAGTATGGCAGTACTACAAGCTCTGAGTTGCAATGTAGTGAACTCGGGACTAATATATATGAATGCCATCAACAATTAAATGAGGTATGTAAACACAACAATGTGACTGTAATGGATAAAGGGACACAGTCAAAGGACTGTTGAACTTCCTTCTGGGAGATTTCATGGCTCGAATAATCACATTATTCCTGCTCACATGCAAAATATGCGCTTAGATGTGCAGTTGCAGAAAACAGCCCATCATAAACTAACTCTTACAAAAATGTAGTTCACAGATTTATTCAAAATGATTTAGATAAATATGTGTTTCAAAACTTACTGTCTCTAATGGGTTCATGTGGCATTATGAATGACTTCTATATTGGACAGCATTATAAATCAACAACAATTGGTTGTTCACTATCACACAGCTACTTATTAGATAATAAATTTATTTTATTTTGTTATATTTGAATTACATACTTAAGGTTAATACTATAATAATTTCTTAAGCCACCTGTTTTAATATCTAATTTAAAGGTTTTTTTGTAAAGTAACTACTATTTTAGTTTTTTTTAGGTGTGACTTGCTTCTTATACAATATAACAAGTAATTATATAGCTTATGCTTTGGTTGAATAATCACAATAATAAGGATGATAGTAAGGCAAAAAATAAAACTTTATCACAAGCTAGGTAAAATACAGTACCATTGTTTGATTTTCATTAATTAGATATTTTGTATCATACAGTTGACAATTCAGTTAACTGAAATGTTTCTGAATCTCTTCTGATGAAATGACATTTGGCAGTATAAGAACTTCAAGATTAAACTGCAAAAATAATCTAAAAGATGTTTTTACCAAAAACTTAAAAAAGGCGAATATTTGGTGCTGTAAAACCAAAATGGCATCAGTTTTATAAAATGGCATGATAATAGAGATGTTATGATATTGTCACAATGCTATTCACAGATTATTACAACAAAAACAAGACATAACACAGGTATCGAAGCCTAACATGGTTGTCTAATATAATAAGAATGTGGGTGGCATTAATCACCAAGATCAGATGCTAGTGTACTATAGCTGTGAACGCAAATCTGTCAGGTGGTATATAAAGCTGGCAGTTCAAATTTCTAAAAATGATGTATAATTTCTTTAAATTATCTAATTTGGTTTCTGCCAATAAATTAATTTTAACGATTTCAGACAATCAATAATTGAAAATGTACTTCCTGATATTAAAGGTGAAAGCACAACAGTCTTCAATAGAATGTTGTTCAAGAAGAAATGATGATATTGTCTTGTGTTTTATAGTCAATCCAATTTGATGCTTAGTATAACTAATTTATAAAAAATTAAGAGTTACTTTAAAATAAACTTAAAAGTATTCTATAGTAGTCCATATTTATCTAATTATAAATGTCTGCACATGCTTATCAAAAGAGTGGTAAATAAGGTCAACATTATTTTAAGAAAATGAAATGTATTAAATTAAATGCTCTTCTAGAGAGTACAAGGTGCTATATCATATTATTATTTATAATTCTTCCAAATAAGTTATATAATAAGGACCAGATATTTTAATACAGTACTTCACTAGGATTCAAAATATAACATAAATTTTTAATAAGGACAATGGTTTGTATGTGGTGGATATAGTTTATTGTTGAAGCAAGTGAGACATCTCATCTCAACCCATAGTTATAAAAGTTGACTATAAGAAATGCCATATAGTAGATTAAAAAAAAAATTAGTTATTAATAACTGGATTTAAATGCGAATCTTAGTGGGTAAATAGGAAATTGAATGATGAAGCAAAACTAACCATGTTGCTCCGTCGTTGGGAGGTAGTACTTAAACGAATTCGCAAAGACATACCTGGTATCTATTTTCACCAATGCGCGCAGCTGTCAATGGTTTTCCATCCACCTCAGCATACAACGCGTAGTTTGCAGGCAAAGGATTATCACATTTCAGTGTAAATTCTGTAATGTAAGCAATTTGTGTGACTATCGTTGCATCCAAACTTGTGAATGAAGTTGCTTCAACCTGAGGATTTTGGCAGCTTTGGGCTTTCGCGCCGCTAAATAAAGCAATTACTAAGACCGGTATCAAAAAATTTGTGACCATTTTGCAGCCTTTTGTGACTTAGAAACTTTATACTTTATTACCACTGCACTTGTCCACGTAAGTATCGCAAATTGTAAGAAAAAGAAATCAGTGAATGTAAAGTGTCAAACCTATGAGTGACGTGGCGTTCAAATACTCTGATCAAAGAGAAAGTACATATTTTAAAAGTAAATTGTAACGTTAGAATTAATTTTATGATTTATTCCTAAATTTAAATCTTAAAAATAAATTGTAGATAAATATAAAAGCACCTAAAATTACTTGTGAAATATTATTTAATATTAAGTTCAATTATTATTTTTTATTTAATAACAGAAAATTTGTTTAAGGAGACATAGTTCAGAACGCACGCATAAACATCACCGGTGACGTGTGACTAAAATGCCAAGGTGTCATATTACCTAACGTAGCGTTCTGAATTAAGATTTTATCCGTTCTAGCCTTTAACTTTAATCTGTATACAGACAGATCATTATCTAGAACCGGATGGGGGATATGATACTTAATGTTGCATTTTATGAATTTTTAACAATGATGCAATTACATACAAACAGATTGCAGTTATTTTCATATTCTAAAAAGTACCCAATTCTGATTATTTGAAGTTATATCGATCTTATAAAATGAGCATTTTTACTTATTTTTTATTTATAAACTACATAGGTGTTTTTTTTTTTACTTAAAAACTCTAACTGAATCGGAAATTGCTCCATCTCTATTAATATTAGTTAATTTATAATTATTTAAAAAAAATTAAGTATCGAAAATTTTATTTTACTATAAAACATAAAATATCTACTTTTAAAAATTAAATTGTATGCCAATGAATTGCTCCTTAAATGCTCCAGCAGAATCCGAAATTGCTCTACCTCTATTCCTATTTGTTAATTTATAATTAATTTAAAAAAGAAATAGGGATCTAAAACTTTATTTTGCTATAAAATATCAATATTTAAAATTAAACTGTATGCCAATTAATTGCTCCTTAAATGATCCAGCAGAATCCGAAATTGATCCACCTCTATTGCTATTAGTTAATTTAGAATTAATTAAAAAAATTAAGTATCGAAAATTTAATTTAGCTATTAAACATAAAATATCAATTTTTTAAAACTAAACTGTATCCCAATTATTTTTTACTTAAATGCTCCAGCAGAATCCAAAATTGTTCTACCTATATTGCTATTTGTTAATTTATAATTAATTTAAAAAAAAATAAGGATTGAAAATTTTATTTAGCTATAAAACATAAAATATCAATTTGTTTAAAATTAAACTGTATTAAAATTAATTGCTCCTTAAATGATCCAGTAGAATTTGAAATTACACACATTACACCTCTATTGCTATTAGTTAATTTATAATTAATTTAATAAAAATTAAACAACGAAAATTTAATTTTGCTATAAAACATGAAATGTCTACTTTTTAAAATTAAACTGTATGCCAATTATCATCATCATCATTACAGCCCTTCACAAGTCCACTGCTGAACATAGACCTCCCCCAAAGAATGCCACAATGCACGGTCCTGAGCCACCTGCATCCATCGACTTCCTGCATGTCTTACCAGGTCGTCATCTCGTGGGGGGACGCCCTACACTTCTCCTACCGGTACGAGGCCGCCATTCGAGAACCTTTCTTCCCCATCGGTTGTCGGTTCTTCAAGCTATATGGCCGGCAACTAATCCGTTGGGCTATGTCGGTTACTCTGGTTCTACTGCGGATATCCTCATTCCTAAGTTTATCACGCAGAGAAACTCCGAGCATAGCCCTCTCCATAGCTCGCTGAGCGACCTTGAGCTTCCTCATCCGGCCAGCAGTGAAGGATCACGTCTCAGTTCCATAGGCCATCAGTGGCAACACGCACTGGTTGTACAGTCTCGTTTTCAAGTTTTGAGGTATACCTGATGAGAAGATGTGCCGTAACTTACCGAACGCTGCCCAACCGAGTTGAATCCGTCGATTGACCTCTCGGTCGAAGTTGGACTTACCTAGTCGGACTATTTGTCCCAGGTAAACATACTCGTCAACAACTTCGATCTTAGTGCTCCCAACAACTACCGGCATAGGTGTGACATGGACATTAAACATGATCTTTGTTTTGTCCATGTTCATCTTAAGACCTATCCGTTGGGAAACACTATTGAGGTCATTGAGCATAGTGCTTAGGTCCTCCAGCGATTCTGCCATAAGGACTATATCGTCGGCAAATCGAAGGTGAGTGATGTACTCGCCATTGATGTTGATACCGTATCCTTTCCAGTCCAGAAGCTTGAAAACGTCTTCCAATGCAGCGGTGAAGAGTTTCGGGGATATGACGTCACCCTGTCTTACACCTCTCAGCAATTGGATAGATTTCGTACTCTGGTTCTGTACTCGGATAGCCATCGTAGCACTTCAACACTTCGATATACCGACAGTCAACTTGGCACCGCTGAAGGGACTGCAGCACCGCCCAAATTTCAACGGAAACAAAGGCTTTCTCATAGTCCACATACGTCAGACATAGTGGCAAATTGTACTTTTCGGACTTCTGTACAATTTGCCGAAAGGTAATTTATAATTAATTTAAAATAAATTTAAGTATCGAAAATTAAATTTTGCTATAGAAGATAAAATATAATTTTTTTTAAATTAAACTGTATGCAAATTAATTGTTCCTTAAATGCTCTAGCAGAAGCCAAAATTGCTCCACCTGTATTGTTATTAGTTAATTTAGAATTAATTTAAGAATATTAAGTATCGAAAATTTAATTTTGGTATAAAACATAAAATATCTACTTTTTAAAATTAAACTGTATGCCGATTTATTGCTCCTTAAGCGCTACAGTAGAATCCGAAACTGCTCCACCTCTATTGCTATTTGTTAATTTATAATTAACTAAAAAAAATTAAGTATCGAAAATTTAATTTAGCTATAAAACATAAAATATAATTTTTTTTAAATTAAACTGTGTGCAAATTAATTGCTCCTTAAATGCTCCAACAGAATACGAAACTGCTCCATCTGTATTGATATTAGTTAATTTAGAATTAATTAAAAAAAAAATTAAAATTACTTATAAATTAACTAACAACAATAGAGGTGGAGCAATTATGGATTTTGCTGGAGTAATTATGGAGCAATTAATTGGCATACAGTTTAGTTAAAAAAATGTTCTACGCTAACTTCCATCTAGTCAATTTAAGTAATTAATATTTTTGAAATGTGCTATTTAAAATACGTATGTCAGTATTTTTATTTTATATATACGCCAAATTCGTATGCTGTTGTAGGGGGGGGGGGGGGGGTTTCTAATTTACCATGTGCTCGGCGGTGAAGGAAAACATTGTGAGGAAACCTGCATGTCTGAGAAATAAGAAAAAACATTTCGCATTGGGGCATCGCGGCGGATTTTCCATGCCTAAAATCCTCTCTGAAATGAGGCGAGGCCTGTACCCAGTAGTGGGGCGTATAGGGGCTGTAGCTTTAAACTTGATTGTCTAAAAATAAGAAAAAAATCTTTTTCGAAGACACGTGAAATTCGCCAACACGCATTGAAGCAGCGCGGCGGACATTTCCTTGCCCTAAAATTCTCTCAGAAAACTGAAGTCTGTGCCCAGCAGTGGGACGTATATAGGCTGTAACATTAAGTTTTACTCACGCACACATCTTTCTTTCTTTATCATGTCGTAAAAGTTCACTTCTGCACACACATGCATATAATACCATGTTGTAGGTTTCAAATGCTTTTAGATGCACATATATGTGAGTGCGTGTAATTACAGTAAATTGAGCATGGTATTTGCATCACTTGAAATGTACACAGCTTCGCTTAGCTTCATTTTCGTGCTTTTTTCTATGTTGGTTTTAGACATTATAGTCTGCTCAACTCATTCATGAGACCGACTATAGTGGACCTGATACTACTTATAAAGCACTTTTTGTAATAAGGCTTTCTGTGTTTTTCTATTCGGTTGGCGGCGGTATGGGGTACATGTAGGAGTAAGGGAATGATACACATCGTTGCCTATCGGTAAAGGCCCTTTATTAGCGTGGCGTGTGTGTGGGTGTCTTGTCAAGCGTCCCCTCCGCGTCGCCCCCGTATTGCGTATTCCCCAGCCGCGTTATCAGTAGCTGGTACTCTTCGAAGAACTCGCTGCTGAAACTGAAAAAGCGAAGGCCTGCCCACTACCTTCACATCCAAATGTATAGACAGACCCAGTACCTTAGGGGACTATAAAGTAAAGCTTATAATCACCATCAGTGCACTAGTGATTTATTATTTCCACTAATAGTTCACATTAGTTCACATTATTTAACCCACAAAATGCTTTAATTTTAATGTATCAAACTCCACTTCAAACCATTTTAATGACATAGCTATTTTCCTTTAAAACCCTATTTGTCTTACCACCATGATGCCCTATTGCCCCGATCCTACAACCAAATTTACAGACATTTCTAGTTACCACGTTAGTTAGCCTTAATATGTTACGTTTGTTTATAAAATATTGATGCGTAGTTACGAAGATTTTGACGACAGTTTATTTCAAACCTAACCTAAAACCACCTAACCTAACAGTCGATGATGATGGTATATTAGGGGACACTTTAGGCATATATCACCATCGGAGCACTAATATTTCATTGGTTCCATTCACATTAACTGAATTTTGAAACCACGAAATCCCATCACTTTTTTATATCAAACTTGATTCCAAGTTTATAAACAATTGGATATTTCCCTCCTAATTTATTAGTATTAGGTTTGGTTAGTTTAGTTTACGACGGGCTGTTTTCCGCAACTCCATGTCTATGCGCGTATTTTGCGTATGGGCAGGAATAATGTGATTATTCGAGCCATGAGATCTCCCAGAAGAAGTTTACAACAGTCCTTTGATGTTGCAAGCAACTTCGAGAAGTGATCTCGGCATGCCGAGATATTTAGCCCTGTATGCAGTGACCTCCGGACATGTCAACAATTCGTGGGCCGCCGTTTCTTCCTACCCCATACATACCCTGCACAGGGGACCATCTATAACACCTATGGTAAAAAAAGTTTGTTAAATGAGCCATGTCCTGTGAGATAGCACTTGTTACTAATTTGATCTGCGGCTTGTTCAGTCTCATTAGAACTTTGGTTAAACCACTGTTTATTTCAGGCAAGGCCTCCCTAGCTTGTCAACAGTCTACTGAATTTTTTCAAAGCAGGGCGTGTTGATTAGTGAAGTGTCTACTTTCCAGAGAACGAACGTGACCAAAAGGCATTGGTATGATTTTTTCCGGCCCTATAGTGGCCAGAGCCGATTCTCTTCTGGCCAGTTCGTCTGCTGCATCGTTGCCTCTGGATCCACTGTGTCCCTTTATCCATAGCAGAGTCACATTGTTGTTTTTACATACCTCATTTAATCGTTAATGGCATTCATATATTAGTCCCGAGTTAACCACATTTCAACTCAGAGCTTGTAGTACCGCCCTACGGTCGGTCAGTATTCTGATGGAGAAGTCATTTACCTTACTAGCATCTATTGCTATGGCCGCTTGAATGATACCCATACATTCCGCCTGACAGACTGTGTTATAGGTACCCAGCAGTGTGCCTATGTTGATATTAAGGTCTTCAGCGAAAGTTCCAGATCCTACACCTTCATTTGTTTTAGAATCATCGGTGAAAACTCTAAGTTCTTTTGGGCTTAATCCTTCCGGCTGGCTGGTTTCATTTAATTGTATCTTGTACTTCTTATTGAATACAAATTGTTTAGGGATCTTATCGTACTTGGCTTGTAAGATAGGAATTTTTGAGTGAATTCTATCAATTATGCCTGTATGAGGGACACTATTCTTACTCCAAAGATTAAGGTCTTGAGTCTGATGGCAGCTAAAGTAGCTTCTTGTTGTATATAGTCTTAGGTTTAAACGAGAGTCTGTTTCAATAAAGAAGCCTCATTGAAGTATGCAAACTAAGATTCAAAGTATTTTTAATAGAATAAAGGTGTCAAACGAGCACACAGTCCACCTGACGGTAAGTGGATACTGTCCAAAAGACATAATATTATATTTATGCTTGATTAAAAATCAAAATGCACAGGCTACTAAAATGGAATGCCTTGTTTCCAGTCAATAGGGTCTCCGGTTGTCTACACTGACCGTATGAAAAACAGTCTTATACTGCTATTTTACGTTAGTATTCTGTGAGAGCGTGATTCTACACCGTTCGAGCTGACCCATATAAAATACAAACATGATATAGCCACAGCGTGGCTCTAACGCGTGTAAGTATGGAATTTGACAACATATTTTGACGCCGCGACAAAGGTATTTCTTTTGGGAGAAAGACTACCCTAACTCGCAGACTATCAATAAACAACGTCTTATATATTCAAATACTTCTTTTTATACTATGACTAGACAACTAGACAAAACTAGACGAGCTCTGTGGCCTCAATACATTACTCACTACGTTATGGTCAATTCTCTGTAACTTCTTTAGTCAACTGCGAGCAGACGAGAAAACTATCATATTTTTTTATTGTAAAATGTGAACGTTATTCTCGATAATCTAACCACTGCTAACCACACAGTGACACCCTGATTTTGTTTAATGTCATAATGTGACTAAGAAAACACTGTCATTAGTTATGTCCGCACTTGTAAACGTGTTTTGAAGTATATTTCACATAAGTATGCAACTCTATTTCGTATTTGCCTAAAAACAGTAACTACCGTTAATTAAAATACACTGCCATCTTTGGTGGCATATTAATCGTGCCAGCTACCCGTCTACAGCTGTAACACAGCTATTGTTCTAAATTGCCGGTCGGTAGAAGTAATTGCTTATGTTATTATGACTTATGTTTTCTTATGCTAGAAGCGTCAGGTGTGACACCTGAGGACTAAGATGGAATGCCTCGTCTCTAGTAAAATGGGTCTCCGGTTATCTACACTCACCATTAAGCTGCTATTTTACGCCGGTATCCTGTAAGAGCGTGATCCTACCCCGGTCGAGCCAACCCATTCGTGATACAAATATAGCTACATCGTAGCTCTAACGCGTATAAGTATGGTATTTGACAGCTTATATTGGCGCCGCGACAAAAGTGTTTCTTTTGGTGCAAAGAATACTTTAACCCCATTGCTATTAATAAGCCTGCTTATAAATAAGACCGTATGATTAAGACTTATGTTTTTCTGCACGGCTAGCATGGGCTGGGGACAAAAATTTTATCCCCCGGTTATATCCACTGACTAGAGATAAAACTATCTTATCCCTATGCCAAAGTACGGCAACGGGGAGAAGTATAGCTTCGTTTGACATAACGAGTAGACATATATCCCCTGTTCGTAACATCGAGCCAAATGAAAGATAAAAAAAATTATGCTTTTTTGACATTTGAAAGAGACAATTCTATCCTAGTTTATTGGACGTGGGTTTAAGTTCATATTTATACAAATCTATCTAAGTCTATCTCCCATTATATGTACTGTGGATATTATATCCACCGGTGTGCCCATGCTTGAAGGGTGGATAAAACTATGCGGGGAGATAAACATTTTCTCCTGTCGCCGGGGATAAAATTGTCTCCCGCCGATGCTAGCGCTGCTGTTTGATTGGCAGCAGTATGAGGTACATGTGGGATGACAAAATGAAACACATTAGCGTATCGGTAAAGGCCTATATTAGTGTGGTGTGTGTGGCGGTGCGTCAGTGCGCGGCGGGCGGCGTCTTGGCGGGCGAGGCAGGCGGCGCGCTCCACTCCACGTCGCCCTCGTACTGCGTGTTCTCCAGCCGCGTGATCAATCGCTCGTCCTCGTCGCCGAACTCGCCGCCCATCAGCGACGGCTCGCCCACCACCATCACGTCCTGTTACCCCAGTACAATTTAATACACTAGAGCTTTGGAAGCGGTCGGAGGACGGCTCGCCCACCACCATCACGTCCTGTTGCCCTAGCACAATTGAATAACCTTTAGGAACGGCCGAAGCTCGCCCACCACCATCACATCCTGTTACCTCCGTACAATGAAAATTATTAGTGAATAACCGGAGGACGGCTCGCTCACCACCTTTATTTTCTGTTGCCCCGATACAATTTAAAGAAACAGTCGAATACTCACCCACCACCACCACCACCATGACATACTGTTGTCCTGATACATTGGAAATAATTAGTGTTTTTAGAAATAGCCGAAGGACGGCACACCCACTACGATCCTGTTGCCCCGGTACAATTGAAATTATTAAAGCTTTGGACAACACAACAGCTGAAGGATGGCTCGTCCACTACCATCACATACTGTTTGCCCCAGTACAGGCAATGATTAGTGTTATGGACAATGAACTCGCCGCATATCGGCTACGGCTCAAACAGTATCACTACGCTTAGTCATTCAAGTTTTGAAAACAACCGAAGGAGAACAGACTCAGACCCAGGAGTAATTTTGTTTAAATCTAGACCAAAACATCAGTTATTCAATTTTTTGTCGAGAAATTTTCAGTAACAGCCCGGAGTACTTACTACGCCTGATCTCTCGGTGGTGTCAGATTGCCGTTGCCCATTGGACTATATGAGTAAGAAAATAGAATAGTGCACCTGTCATTGCGCATTCACGCAGGCACTATAAATCATGTCATGTACTGATGGCTCACTGTTAAGACTGACCGCCATGAACGAAATATTTTTTATAGATTGAAGATGTTTTCACTACTCATTAGCAGCCACTGTTGCCTCAATATAGTAAAAAATTTGAGCAATAATTTGTTTATTCAAGGCTCAATCTATCAGCAATAACTTGCCAACAACAATATGTCCTTACATCCAGTAGAAATAAACAAATGTAGAGGAATCTGGTAAGCTTTTTAAATCAGCCTCCCAATATTCTACCTACAAGACATGACCCATCCTTGGCATAATCGCCACGATTGGCAAGCTAGTTGGCAATGGCAGTACCTGACTTTCCGTAACTTCGACAATGCCCACCATCAACAATTGATGTTTCAGTTCCAAACGTGCCGACAGATTAATAAGTTGTTACTAGGAATAAAGAAACCGATATGCATTATCATATCTGTAAACCATAGTGTGGTATGTTTATCGGCTGTGTCTTACAATCAAAATTAGTAAAACCTTAGTCAATGACCACAGTTTTGAATTGGAGCATATTTCTCTTAGCGGCTTATTAGCGCGTCGGCATTTTGGCATCGACACTGCTGTCTTATACTGACTGATAACTTTTCTAACGTTTCGTAGTTGTTCTATGATTGGATTTAACTGGTGTATAATGTGTGTAGCATGTACGACCATTGTCAAATGCACGCACATATTATACTGTGAGTACTTGTAGTATATATTGTGACGTCATAGCTGTCAACTCAAACCAGTTAGGTAGGGTGAGCAAAACAGATATTTATGAGATAATACATATTTACAAAAGAAACATGAACTAAAAAGTATTAATTTGAATCTAGCATTTCAATCTCAGATCACTGTCTGCTTTCCCTTATAAAAATAGGACATGGATTTATGTAGGTATTTAAAATATTCCACTGACTAGTGGAATATTTTAAATACCTACATAATTAACATACAGTTAAAATATTAATATGTAACATAAAATTTACATATTAATATTTTAACTTAATTTATAAAAACAATTATGAGTTCAATAGATTTGGTAATACTAAAACTCATTTAAATACATAAAGCGAAAAAAAAAAAGTTATTATTTCTTTGCAAGCCGTACTTTTCAAGTGACCAAGTGGTCATAAATTAAAGTTGATAAAAAAGATAATAAAACAACAAATATGAAATCGCGTTTTCTTTTGCTTAATCGAGCATTTATCCCTTGCAGGATCAAAAAATCTGGCAATCATATATTTACGTAACATGCAAGTTACGTGTCATATTATAGTCTCCTTACAACATCCTCACAATACGCATATTATGTAGAAATACAAACGCATATTAGTTCTGCAGCATATGCTGTAAAAAAGATTAGAAGTCTAACCAGTGTTGAAACAGCTAGACTAGTTTACTTCAGCTACTTCCATAGCATAATGTCGTATGGTATTTTGCTATGGGGACACGCAGCTGACACAGAAATTATATTTGTTTTGCAGAAGAGGGCCATAAGAGCAATTTATGATTTAAAGCCTAAAGAGTCGCTGCGACAAAAATTTAAGGAAATTAATATATTAACTTTGGCCTCTCAATACATTTATGAAAATTTAATGTACGTACACAAAAATAAAAGTAGTTTTATAAAAATAAGTGATATTCATTCTGTAAATACTAGGAACAGACACAAGCTAGTAGTACCAGTTACTCGACTCCATCGAGTCAGTAATTCATTCTTGGGGCGATGTATACGCTTTTACAACAAAATTCCAGAAAATATACAAAGTTTGGCCTGTTCAAAGTTCAAAAACTTTATTAAACTAAGTTTGTATAAAAAGGGTTATTATAATATTAAGGAATTTATGGATGATAATAACCCCTGGAAATGAGGTGATCGCTACCAAGCTATTTCTAATTTGTTGTGTTGTTAATTTGTGTAACATCATGATTGTAAGCTGTTATTTAAAAAAAAAAGTCCCGCTGGGTTTCTTGCTGGTTCTTCCCAGGACAGAGGTTTTTTCCGAACCAGTGGTAATCAAACAAAAGAATGACTTTCAATAAGTATTATTTATAATCTATATTGAATAAAAAAGTTTCTGTTTCTGTTTCTGTTTCAAATGTTGAGTGTATGTTAAATCTGTATCGGTGTTGGATGCTAGTCGTATGGATGTCGCAAGCGTGTCGTGTCGGTGTCGTGTCGTGTCGGTGTCGTCTCGTGCGTGTCGTACCTGCGAGGCGAGGCTGAAGTTGGGTCCGGGGGAGCGCTTTTTGGTGGGCGCGGGCGGCGCCGCATTGGCGCCCGCACTGCCTTTGCGCTTGCGCCGCTTGCTTGCGGGCCGTTGAGACTCTGTCGACAAAACCGCAACATGTTACATGGTTTAAAAAAAACTTGAATTTAAAAGGTTGAATTAGTCAGTCTGGTTTAGCTTGCCTTAACACGACTAACTAAACTTAACTTAAAAGAAATAATGTGACTCGTCAGTGTGGAGCACAGATTTAGGGTCTAATCACAGGCCGCGAATTAATATAATGTACGAATCGATCGGACTCTATGTTCAGCACCGGACTTTTTATAGACTGTTACGTTTAGCATTTCATCTTAGTCCTGAGGGTTGAAAATGTACATGCAATTTACATTACTGAATGAAGCTATTCAATAATGTAAATATCTACATTCATATTTCAAAGAGAAAAAACATAAAGTTCTGGAGCACTGAACAAAGATGCTTATTTCACTGGCACAATTCCACGTTAAAATAAAATGCCAAAATTAACTCTCATGTCATGTTGAAAGCAATGCTGTCAATTAGTTATTGTATTTTCATCTAAAACATGGCTTATCTCGAAAAACGTTACGTTTTTCGTGTTAATTGTAATTTTGTACCAGTACACCTCTCATGGCAAAGTTAACATCCATTGGTAAAGTTGCCAGACCTGACTGTACCCGAATTCTTCGAGGAATCTAGTAACTTCTGGCGGGCGGTATCTAGGATTGCCGAGGGAGAGACCTCGGCAATCCTAGATACTTCACTCTGTAGCTGGCTACCGCATATGGATTTATTATACATTTCCTTGTGTGTTCTAAGTTTCTTCGGTAAGACTTCGGTCCAGTGAACAAACTGGTGAAGAAGGAGCATTTAAATACCAGACATCCATAAATCACCAGGTTCCTTGATCATGCCGATGTTTCTTCTAATTAAACTTGAATCATCACCAATCAATCATCAAATAGTTGAAATGGTGAAGAAACTGTTAGTGGGTACTAGGCGCACAAATCTAACCTGGAGGCGCGACCATTCGCTGCCACTTTTGGAAGAGCGTCGTTTTGAGGCAATCGCGAGGCGACAACGCGTACGCCTTGTGTCGCGACATTAGCTCCTGCATTGGTTCCAAGATCACGCACAGCTGGGGACCAAACAACATTACTTAAATTTATTAAGTTACCAGTTTCCTATTATAGACCTTATTGTGTTTGGTGTGTGAAGTAAGAATTTGCTATAACCAGTGATGGGCCATGATTATTAAAGATGTGGGTGCTTAAGTGTTGTATTGCCAAAATTGGCATAATAAAACGCTCATGGATATCCGCAGTGTCTGTCGGTCTGTCTGTCTTATCAGTGACGTTTTTCTCAGATACTATTGCGGTTTCAAAGTGTTTTATTATACCAATTTTTGATAGAATACTAGCATAGTTATAATATATATTATGACTGCAGCATGAATAGGTTGGTTTGACAAGGAATGATCAAACTCACAAAATACCAACCCAAAATATCAGCATAACACTGCTGTGTTTCATATGTTTAGTGCAGAGAACTGGAGACCCTTTTATGCTGATAACAAGACATTCCAATTTAGCCCTCAGGGATGAGAAAACATCTGCATTTTGATTATTAATTAATGAATTGATGATAGATGTAGGGCTTACATTAGGGTAGGGTAGGGTTAGGGTTACAGCATTCACTAACCATCAGGTGGACTGTATGGTCGTTTGTCACTCTTACTTTTATAAAAATATTATAGTTACCCAATTAGAGTGGCGTGTTTTTTACCAATTCAGTAGTGGAGTAGGTCACAATTTTTTTTTTGTATTGTTTTGTATTTTTTTGTTTTTGTTTTTCTTTTTACCTTTGTTACAGGGTTAATTTTCAAAGAGTAGCCAAATTTAAAATTTAAGTTCGAATATATAAATAATAATACAGACAGACTCCTGGGCAAAAAAGTCATTACAATATATCAAATGTTTATAAAATCTAGGTTTTCTTTTGTATTTTGTGTGATGCGTTGTAGATTGTGCAATGTAATTAGTATATGGTATGTGTGGTGCCTAATATGCTATGTGATGTGTTAGAAACATTACGAGCATGTACATGTGGTATACTGAAAGATTTGCATAACTCATCGCATGCTGCAGCTATATTAGGTTGTAGCACGAATAGGTCGGCTCGACCTGGAAACGCCTCTCTAAGTATAGCAGCGTAAAATAGCAGCTTCATGTTGCGTTTTACTGAAAACATTCCATTTTAGTCCTCTGGGGTATAAAGCATCTGAATTTTGATTTTGATGTCTATGGACCAGAGCATGGACTTAAACTTAAGTGGACTGTGTGCTTGTTTGTCACACTTATTCTATTATACAAAAAATGTATAAATAAAATAATTTATATGCAAACTAACATATTTACTGGTTTTCAAAATTTTCTTTATATAATTTTAAACACTATTTCATTAGTTCAAACCATTTTTGAAAACATAAGAACCACTAGTTTGAGGGCATGTTTTTTACATGCTGGTTAAAAGCTTTCACGGCTTCTGCCACCATAAATGTCATTCCTCTCGTCAGATCTTTGATTTATCGAAACGCAAATAAAAACCATGGTGCAAGCTCTGACCTGTGTGCAGAATGGGTCAAGAGTTCCACCATTTTCAGTCCAGTTTTGTATTTGGCATTATGAATAATGTGTGACATATTCAGCATAATACCGTTGTATAATAAGCGTGAACCGTTATTTGTCCAGTGTGATACGTACAGTGGTTGCAGTCGAGCGTTTGTGTATTGTATTTGTGTGTTTTGCGTGATAGTTTTTGTATTAATTATTATGCGTAATGTGTAACATATTGAGCGCGATACCGTTGTATATTGAGTGATACTGTTGTTTATTCAGCGTGATACGTTTGTGTATTGTATTTGTGTGATACGTTGTGTATTCTGTGTGACAAGTTCTGTATTTGGCATTATGCATGTTGTATGAAGTATTCAGCGTGATACCGTAGTTATTCAGTGTGATATGTTTGTATTTACGTGTGGTATGTACTGTATTGTGCGTGATGGGTGGTGCATAACATGCTGTGTGCTCACCCTGAGGTAGTTGAGCGTGGAGTTGGTGATGCCCTGGCGCGTGATGTTCTTGGCGAGCTGGTCGAGCGCGGCGTGGTCCGGCGGGTGCACCGCCTGCCGCGGGATCAGCTCGCGGTGCGCTCGTACCGCCATATGCCAAGATTTGATTCGCATCAGGTCATCGAACGTGAACTCCAGGATCAGCCGACCCTCGGTGCACACCTGGAACCATAAGAAGATCGTCAGTTTTGATTAACAAGTAAAATATTAAAAAACAAAGAACACAGTGTAATGATTTATTATTATGTGCAATGATTTAATAATTTGTGCAGCGGTTTTTACGTGACAGAGAAACACTTCTGCTATGATAGTTATACATAGGTGCAACATCCTTGGGTTGGCTGGATCAGTTTTACTCTCATTCATAACAAATAACAATTAAATATAAAATTACATGTTTATCAGAATGTACTGTTCCAAAGAGAGAGGGTCGATTATGTTTTATTACGGGACTGCTGAAAACCAATCTATAGGCACTCTTAACTCGTACTTCAGAATCCTATAAGTTTTAAGTTAAATGATCCGTTAAGTGAGTAGACGTGTGGAATGAAGGACCAGTGTGTGCAATTACTTTCTTGAAATCGCGCTGGTGTTTTAGAGTTTATTTGTTGTTATAAAGTGCTACTGATATAAAAGAACATAATATTATTGATTTATTTTCATTGAAATGTAGATCATTGTTGGTGGACCGAGTTTAGACATTTTTATGTTTTATCTTTAACACTTTGTGACCTGATTTTAAATTAATTAAATAAGCTTTACAAATGCCTTACTAGATTCTGTAATCCCATTAATTGCATTTTTAAGGTATTTTCAGAGTCTGGCCAATAAATTGTTGAGAACCTACCACAGAGACTATACTTTATTAAGAATAAAATATATTTATTTCTTTTTCAATGTAAGAAATTAAATTTTCTACAAATTCGTTTCTAAATGAGGTTCCTCAAACTTAAGAAAGAAGTTCCACAGGTAGAGAATACCTTTTGCCATTTTAAGGTTCCGTACCTCAAAAGGAAAAAACGGAACCCTTATAGGATCACTTTGTTGTCCGTCTGTCTGTCTGTCTGTCAAGACCCTTTATCTCAGGAACGCATTGAGGTATCAAGCTGAAATTCATAATATCAAATACTCGAGTCTACTGTCCCTTAGAGCTGTGAAAAAATCAAACTTCTAAGCCAACGCAATCAAAAGATACAACCGTTTGTGTCGTAAATTTTCGAGATTCGCAAGGGAATCAAAACCTACAGGGTACTTCCCGTGAACTCAGAACCTTGAAATTTGGTAGGAAGCTACGTTTTATAGCACAGATAAAGGAAAAATTGCGAAAAGCATAAATTTTTAGTTACATCATATAATAATTTTAAACTTATATACCGACAGATTTGTTCGGAACCCTCGGTGCGCGAGTCCGACTCGCACTTTGCCGGTTTTTTATGATTAGTACCCATTATTATTTATTACTTAGCAAGCTGTACCTACACAAGTATGACGCATGTGGCATTTACAAAGGTGAAATATTTGACAGATTTCATGGAAGAAATCAATTTGTGAGGAAAATGCAAGGCTAATGACTGATTTACACATGGACAGTAACTGGCTCAAGGCAAGTCTCCTGGCATAATGTAAATTGATTTGTAGTAAGTACAGCACTGTCGCGCCAGTGCTGACTTCAATATTCCTGCTTAAATACTGTGAAATCAGTCCACTCCCACCGCCACCCGCGCTAGCGGTATTGACCTTGTCTAAACGACCAAGTCAGTGCTTGGCTGCTTGTTCAGTCACTGGCGTAGTATTGTAGGGTAACATCGCGACGTATCATAAAATTATAAAATATATAGATTAGTAAATAAGGGTAAATGAACGCACTTTATATATTACTGAAAGCATGCATGATACATTTATTTATATTAATTATATAATTTATATTCATCAAAATACGCGAGAGTTAATAGATTTAGAAAAAAATTAAAGAGGCGACATTGTTTTGTGTATTTACCTAAGCACTCTAGAGAAACTTTGATTTAAAACGCAAATTCTCAATTAAAGTTACATTGTGTACCAAATTACAAAAATACTTAGTGAAAAATTTTATTATATACAATATTAAAAACTATAATAATAATAAAAAAAAATAAAACTAGAAACTTAATTATCATATTATAGTCCTACTCCCCGCGGTAACGTGCCAAGAACGCTGGCTGCGTTTCTCCGCTGAATGGCTATACTTAGCCTTTGAGCGAGAAAAGAACCAGCCCTCTTATCACCAGCAGCGACGACCAGCCGCGGATGGAGTTCCTTTAGGAACTTCACCGCACGTGGACCCCACGGACCGATAGTCTCTACAGCAAATGGCACAAATATGTAGTCATCTCTCAGAGACTCATATTTGCGCCACTAATAACAAATAATAATAATATTATATACATCAGTTCCAACTACCAGCGACATTCGGTGAGCTCATTGTTTTAGGTCTTACTTGGTTTTTTTATTACTAGCGTTAATTATCTCTACATCTCACGATATATATTAAAAACAACCTGCATGAGTCGTATGACAAAATACCAGGCTAGCATAGAATAGATAGAATATTTTTTAATCAATATAGACTATATGTGTAATTCTTATTGAAAGTAATTTTATACTTTTACCACTGGTTCGCAAAAAAACCTTTGTCGTAGGAAGAACCAACAAGAAACCCAGTAGGACATTTTTAAAAGTAAAATTATACATAATGAAAGGTTGTACAAACCATTCACCAAAATTTATTTTAGAAACAACTTGGATCCGACCACCTCATTCACAGGGGTTATTATCGACCATGTATTCATTTATATTACAATAACCCTTTTAATACAATTTTTGTTTAATAAAATATATTTAAACTTGGTAATAGAGAAACCTTGTGTATTTTCTGTGACATTGTTGTAACAGTGTATACCAACCCCAAGAATGAATTACTGATTCTGTGCGGTCGAGAAACTGGTATCATTAGCTTGTTTCTGTTCCTAGTGTTTACAGCGTGTATATCACTTTTTTATACTAAAATATTAAATTTAATCTTGTCTTATATTTACCCGAACACTACACATTGTATGCAAATTAAACTAATTTTACGGATTTTATCGTGTTTAATTTAACTTTTTATACTACCCCGCGGGACCATGGGTGATATAAAATCCGTGGCCATAAAATTAGTTTGATACAATACATATAATTTTCGTACATATAGATATCGCGCGAGTAGCTCACCTTTGTGAACATTGGCTTCCCGTGATGCGTGACCATAGTGCAGTGGTCGCAGTCGAGCGTGATGCTCGTGTTGTGGAAAGACTCTTTGGGCTGGCGCATCGTGTAGTACAGCTCTGAGACGCCGCCCTCATATATACTGCGGAAGTAGCGCGGTATGAGCGTCCTTCCTATCGCTGCAATTCATAAATATCCTGTATTAGTTACTTTCTTCTTGAGGCCTAAATCTATCAGCATTAACTCGCATTAAACTGAATGGTTCTGAACACTCTTACAATGCAATCGACAATCGTCCGCCAAGTAAAATGACATGTTACCGTGACAGCCTATTAAAGTCCACTGCTGCACATAGACTTCCCCATAGAGTGTAGAGGAGTGAGTGTAAAGGAACCGGAGACCCTTTTTACTTGAAACGAAGCATTCAATCTTAGTCAACACGGGTGACAATGCATCTGCATTTTGATTCGCAAACGAGGATAGATGTAGATGTATATGGGCCACAGCAACCACTTACCATCAGGTGGACTGTGTGCTTGTTTGTCACCCTATCCTATAAAAAAAATAGATGGTGGAAAATAACTCCACTCCATTATTGCTCTTGATGTTCATTAAAAATTGAACTCAATAAAAGTACTACAATTTTATATACTCACTATATCTTTTGGGTCCATCTTCTAAACAAAACGTGAGGGTTAACGTCGCATCGTCCTCGAAGAACTCTGTTGCGAACGCGTCCCACCATAGGTTATCAGAGTCCTGAAATCAAACAAGAAACACAGGATAAGTTTATATTGTCCTGGTTATTAACCTCCTTAAAAGTCCACAGCTAGTCTTTGGGACCTCTTTCCTCTCTTATTTCAATTATTTCAATACTTACGCGGCTTTATTATGCGCTGCAGGGCTGCGAGTAAACAAGTGCTTGTAAAAGTAAAGTTACAGCCTATATATACGGCCCACGGCTGGGCTGGTTTTAGGGCAAGGACATGTCCGGCGCGCTGCCCCAATGCTGCCCAAATATATTTTTTTGAAGTTATACTTCTTTTGGGGCGTTTAGGAAAAATTATAAGAGTGAATTTTTTTGATTCGCTCGTACACCGACAGCTAAAAACGACACTATGAAGTTGTCACGATGCGCGTGCACCCGACATCTAAAACGACACCATGAACTTGTTAAGATGCGCGTGCACACTGACACCTCAAAGCTCAAAGCGACAACTACATTGGGTAACTGTCTCTCAAGTTTTCGTCGTGTCAATTGATAACTATATTAAAGGTAAGTAGTTCCTTTTAGTTATTTTTGTTTTGTTACGCTAAAGAAGTATAAATTCCTACGTGCGTACATAAGTATACAAACACGATTTTTTTCTTATTTATCAAACATGCAGGTTTCCTCACGATGTTTTCCTTCATCGCAGAACACGCGGTAAATCAGTGTTTAAAATTACGCGCGTACTGTGAAATTTACAGCGAGCGCTTAGCCCCTGTTCTACCACGGCAAGTGCTTGATAGCCTACAAATTATTGTTCCGTGTCTGAATGTTTATCCATGTGCGCTTCGATTCCCCAAGACACAAGAGAAAACGAAAAACTACCGTGGGCGTAACTTTTTTTTTTATAATAAATCCTATATATAAGACCAGAGCCGTCGTAGTTCAAGGTATATGATTGAAATTTTTTTTTTATAGGATAAGGTGACAAACGAGCATACAGTCCACCTGATGGTAAGAGGTTGCTGTGGCCTATAGACATCTACATTTATCCTCTTTTGCGAATAAAAAATGCAGATGCGTTGTCACCCGTGAGGACTAAGATGGAATACCTCTTTTTCAGTAAAAAGGGTCTCCGGTTCTCTACACTCACCATACGAAACACAACAGTTCTGTGAGAGCGTGGTCCTTTGGCGGTCGAGCCAAGCCATTCGTGCTACAACTATACTACTAATATAGCTGCAGCATGGCTCTACCACGTACAAATTAATTAAGGTTCATACTTCATTGTACACGCGCGTATGAGTTCGTGTTTCAGATGCGCATCATCCCGTACAGTCAACAACGTGAAGACTTCTCAAATTGAACTTAATTCTCAACCTTTTGCATGTTTACATATCACCTCTTCTCAGAAAATGTTAGAGGAAACAATTGTAAATGATGATTTACATGTAATAATAATGTAATTTTTTAAGGCCATGAGGCCAATACGCATCTGAGGAGGCGCTGTAGTCTGTTTTCCTACCGACTTCAAAAAGGAACTGGTACTCAATTCGACTGTATGTTTTTTTTATGTGTGTTACCTCATAACTTTTTACTGGTTGAACCGATTTCGATGATTCTTTTTTATTTTTAATTTGATCAAAGTCTGACCAATAGTTTTTGAGTTATTCTTAATAATTTATATAGAAGTCGGTTGTACAAAATTTTTAATTTTTAATTATTTTATGTGTGTTAGTTACGTCATAACTATTTTATGGGTTACCCGATTTCGATGATTCTTTTTTTTATTTGAAAGCTGGTGCTTCTCGTGTAGTCTCATATAAATTTGATCAAGGTCAGACCAATAGTTTTTGAGTTATCCTTAATAATATATATTGAAGTCGGTTGTACAAAATTTTTAATTTTACTACTAATTGTTCCAAACCCCTATCAGAAATGATAATACATACATAGGCTGTAAATAGTAGACTCTTCAAGAATATTTTAGCATTATCCTTATTATGCATATACATTATGACACCCATAATGAAATGCCAGGTCTCAAAGACAGAGGGGTAGAAAGGCAATGATTACCATGTGATTTGTACGAAATTCTTCCGTAGAACCGACGAAGTTATAGAAAATAAAAAAAAAATTATCAGTCATATTAATGCCCGCGACATTAGGGTGGTTAAAGGGTCATCTAAACCGCACCGCAACCTATTTGATTACCGATTGTCAATTTGTTTAAAAATTTAACTTAATTGTTTAATCTATGTATATAATATAATATAATAAAACGATAGAGGTTTACAGTTGTGCGCGCATCACGAAAAAACTACTGGATAGATTTCAATTGGGTTTTCTAAGTTTTATTTCTTAGACACTTGGCCCGTATCAAAAAAAAACGCGGGTATCAATTAGTACTGTTATAAAAAAAAACTAATCATTTTTAATTTCATTGGCAATACAATCAAAATAAAAAAATATATTTGTCCATCATTTTATATTTTACCTACTTGTTCATAATGTACATATAAATCCTTGGAATTGCATACATTGCATACATTCATAGGGTGACGTTTAAATTCGTTAACAATAGATAAAACATTTTATAAATTGCCTTGACGAACCTACTATCATACAATATAATGACTAGGTATTCTATACAATGACTGAATTACATACTTTGTCGGCAATATAATATACAATATAAAGAATATAAAGTTTGAACAACATGCACTTAAATTATTATATAGTAATTCGCTAGTTCTTCCCAGGACATAGGATTTTTTTCAAACCAGTGGTAAAAGCATGAAATGGCTTTTAATAAGAATTCTTTCTAATTTATACTACTAATATTATAAATGTGAAAGTTTGTGAAGGTGTATCGATGTTTGTTACTCTTTCACGCAAAAACTACTGAATGCATTGAGTTATATGTACTACGTACTAGAGAAGCCATTCCAAACAAAAAAATGTGCACTATTCTATATCTTTGCGCATGCCCACGAGATAGTAGAATCGCGTATGCGTAGTTGACTTAAGCGCGTTGCGCCTGCACGATCAGTTTATAATTTAGACTTTAATTTAAAAAAAATCTTGTATTGTTAGCGCCGCTCCACACTGCATGAATATTGAAACCACAGAATGCTGCAACTATATTAATAGTATAGTTGTAGCACGAATGGGTCGGCTCGACCGGGGAAGGACCACGCTCTCACAGAATACCAATATAAAATAGCAGCTTAATGCTGCTATGTTTCGTATGGTGAGTGTAGAAAACCGGAGACCTATTTTACTGGAAAAGAGGCATTCTATCTTAGTCCTCACGGCTGACAACGCATCTGCATTTTAATTCGCAAACGAGGATAGATGTAGACGTCTATGGGGCACAGCAACCACTTACCATCAGGTGGCCTGTGTGCTCGTTTGTCACCCTTATTCTTTAAAAAAAAAACGCTTTGCACCCCGCTGTTTTTTATAATTTTGAGTTGTTATCAGGAAGACGTTGCTGCCCATCTCCTGTTTCAGTTTCCCTCTGTCACCTCTTACGACACCCACGGTACGATAGTGGGATAGTGGATGTTCTTACCCTGGCACTGCACGGTAAAGGTCCTACCACCACTTAAATACAATTCGAGAACTCACCTCTGTCCTCTGTTGTAACCGTTTATTGAGTTCATACACTCTGTAGTCAGGCTGGCCGAAGTATGGCGCGTGCCTTCTGAAAATAGCAATAAAGGTACACATTAATAATAATATTAGTTAGTTTTATACGTGGCAGAGTCACGCTGCAGTTATATTATGTTTGTAGTGCGAATAAGTCCGCTCGACCGGGGAATGACACCACGCTCTCACAGACTACCTCCATAAAATAGCAGCTTAATTTTGATGTTCCGGATTATGGTGTGTGTAGAGAGCCGGAGAACCTTTTTACTGGAAACAAGACATTTCAGCTTAGTTCTCAGGGGTGACAACGAATCTGTCCGTTTCAGGTTCCGTTTCGGAATTCCAGTAACTCCACATAAAGTCAGAGACCACACACACATGTACGGTAGTTTTTCGTCCGAAATCTTGCGGGGATAAAACGGGAAATTGCGGGAATCCCGTAACGGTTGTCCGAATGTACGGGTCGGGCCTTATACGAGGTAGATTAATCGGTCCCGAAATTTTTAGAAGGACCTTGTCTCTCCTAGTTCTGCTACTCGACACTAGAAGGCGCTAGTGGTAACTAGTGTTTGCATGTACAAGACATTAATAGTGGCGCGCAACAATATAACATACCCATTATTTGAGCTATTACCAAATTACAAGTTATTTGGAAATAGTAACTTAACAATTCTAACTTTACATTCAGTATACAGCTTCAGTCTTCGGATGGCGTCTATTTACAGATATGTATCTTTTACTTATTATGAGTTAGTGATTAACTTCAATACCCCTTGGTGATTAGGGGTGTTGAAGCCTTAGACGCCTAATAAAAGCCTATCCTCTCTTGCCATGAAGACAATAACAGACGCCACCAAATTATTTCATTTTCAACCGACTTGACAAAAAGGAGGAGATTTATTTATAGCAATTAGACTGTATTTTCTATGTGTTAACTCAGAACTTTTATTTTTTTCCGATCGCTCGCCTCGCTACGCTAGCACACCCTCCACACACTCACATAGTATGTTCGTGTTCATATACAGGGAGAGATTAGTGAATTGATTGAAATTTTTCTTATTTTCAACTTGCGTTTTATATAGGCTTAGTTAGATATAAAGGGTAAGCTGTCCCGACGTGCGAGCTATTATTTTCAAGAGCTCCATCCCTTGTACATTCAATTTCTATATTGTAGAATATTCCTTGCGCAGGTTTCTAGAAGTAACAAGAGAATGTGCTCGAAACTGGTCATTGACATCGCTTATGTATACGACACAATGTATGTATATAATATGTTTGTTCGTACTTTGTTACACATACTTCGCTCCACTTTCAACACGTCAACGGCTAGTGCGAAACACCGTTACGCGACGGATGGTGCAAACAACTTTAGCTTTTACTTCAACTAGCTTATATGCCATTTCGTAATTTATTCTATGAACGTGTGAGGTCAGTGAAGATTTGATGAAATATGCGTTGCACTCGGACGAAGCCGTACCTATGTCCCCGTCTTAGTATGAATTGTTTTCTTACGTCTTATTCTTTATGTTGCCTTGGTACTTATAAAACAAAATCTTGGTACTTATAAAACGCATAATAAAAAAAATAAGACTAAGAAGGATAAGTAAAAAAAATTGTCCGTCTTCAAAATGGCTGAAACGATTGTAAAGAAACTGACTTATACTTTATTCGAAAAAATTAAAAGTATATAAAATAAATGGTCTTTGATTAAATCTAAAATAATGCCACATGAACTGATCGTATCCAGGCGAAGCCGGGGCGGATCGCTGGTATATAATAATAATATACTGCTTACTTCTACTTTCTACTGCGTACTTTTTAAATATTATTTACTCGGCAGATAACGTGCCTGAATGGTATTTCCTAGGTTCATATCCTGCAAGGAAAAAAGCAAGTTAAAAATTAATGTAATTTTCAGACTACTTTTGAATGTGTAAGGGCTATGCTGCAATTATGGCCGCAGCACGAATGAGTTGGTCCGACCGGAAAAGGATCACGTTCTCATAGAATGCCAGCGTAAAATGGCAGCATAATGCTGTTGTGTATCGTATGGTGAGTGTAGAGAACCGGAGACCCTTTTTACTGGAAACGACGTATTCCATCTTAAGGGTGGGTCTTACTTAGAGGTATTAACGCATCTATAATCTGTATTTGTATTCTTCAATAGATGTAGATGTCTGTGAATGTGGATGTTTGTCCTTGTGCAATTTATGTTTGTAAACTGCCTCCACGACACAGGAGAAAATCCTAGAATGGGGGTAACGTTTTAAAAAAAAGATAAAAGAAGAATGTGTGCCCGTTTGTCACTCCCCCCCCCCTTCTATAAAAAAAACAGCCAGTAACGACCGTCTCACAAATCGTCGATCCTAGGTCCGAATTTAAAACCGAAATATGTTCAAATATATTTCTTCGGAATGTATGTATTGGTTGACATTACATTCGCATGAAAAAAGAAAATTAAATCGAATATACTTCAAAGTTAAAAGCACTAGTGACTGGTGTTAGGCAGTAAGAGAGTTAGCATAGAGGCTGGGAGGAATTTTATCTCAGACCTTAAGGGCAGAATCTGAGGACTCTATGTTTGTAGCATTAGAAAGATGGTAGTATAGAATGTGCACTCTTTTTTCGATAATATTGTAAAACAGACCAAAATAATACCATTATTTAGATACCACAACTCTAAATATATTTAAAACTATTATTAATTCTGATTCTAAAAATATCAGGAGAATTTAAAGCAGTGTGTGACGTTGACATCTCGGTGCGCAATGACGTAAATGGATCGAACAATAACCGAAGACCACGCTACCGCTACCAAAGTTTTCGAACGAATACATTATAATATTATAGAAAACTCGCTACCCTACTGTCACAATCACAAGGTGCGTTCATTGATCACTTACCGGGCTGAACAGCTTTTGCCTGGTGGGATGTACATATCTCCTTATTATTTTTCTCATTCTTTGGTAACAGATTAACATGGTTGTACTTTTGCCAGTGTCAACATATAAGTAATTACTCTTTATAACAATTTGTTTTAAAAAAAAATCACAATATGTTGATGAGTCACATTGTGAAGTTTTTGGGAGATTTAGATGGCAGCTTGAGTCAGCAGACAGTCGATGACGACAGTATCTATGTAGCTATACATTATCATTAGATTCACATTACCATCTGAGCACTTGTTTCTTAGTTCACATGCACTGACATTTAATATAAAAAAAATCGCACCACTTTTAATGTCAAAGTCTACTTCAAAACATTATTTAAACCAAAATATAGGAGCATCGATCCGACGCTGGTCAAGTTCTCGCCAAAATTAATCTCCTTATTCATAAACGCCTAAATGCGTTTGGCTGCAATTCTTTTGCGAGTTGTGAATAAGAACCGAGATCAGATCGATTTAGTCCGCATTGATAGCATTCATTAAACGTAAATGTGGGTTGAGTTTCCTTTCCATCATCCAGTCTAACCCGTGTATGTGATACGATGTGCTCCGTTGACGATTACTTGCGCTCAGCTACATACCTGCTAACCATCTAGTCGTCATCTATACTTACTAATATAATAAAAGCGGAAGAGTTTTTTTGTTTGTTCAAACCCGCTAATCTCTGGAACTACCAGTCCGATTTGAAAAATTCTTTTTGTATATTATAGCCAAATTCATGTGGAATAGTATAGGCTATCTAGAATTAAGCTATATTACTCACCTAGCCTTAAATATGGATATTTGTTAAGCAAGTCAGAAGAAAAAGCACTCCCGAAATGATTTATCCGCGTACGCTGGTGTTATCGTTAGGGATACGTAAATACAATGTTCTAGAAAAATATAGACCTTTACTCCGTCTAAAAAAAAGTCCGCGATACCATGTCTATTTCTTATACATAAGCCATGATTTGGTATATTGTGACAAAAAAAAAATTGTAAATTTAAGTGATTTATGAGCGTTATTATTAGGCATCAAGACAATTTTATGAAGATAAACTTTGTTCTTTATACCACGTTATTTGGACGCATAGTTTAAGAGATAATGTAAAATTAAAATAATTCAATACTTGGCTGGGCGCGCGAACAACGCTTAAACCCTAGCCGTTATAAAATTTTTAAACTAGGTCATGTCGCGCACCTCGGACACGTGATGACGCGGGTGAAACCGCGGGGCACAGCTAGTAACAAATATCATGCAAACTGTAGGTGGTGCAAAATAATCTATACAAATAAATAAAATTGAAGTGTCTGTTTGTAATGTCAAAATAACACTTTTTATTAAATGCATATGACATTATATACAGTACTTATAACAAAAACACATTTTTTTTATTTGTGTATGTCTGTTTGTTCCGGCTAATCTCCGAAATAACTGGACCGATTTTGACGGGACTTTCACTGGTAGATAGCTGATGTTATAAGGAGTAACTTAGGCTACTTTTCTTTAAGAAAAACAATTAGGGTTCCGCGCGAAAATCTTAAAACCCATGAAATCCAATCGTAATAAATTACACGCGGGCGAAGTCGCGGGGAGCAACTAGTTACAAATATGTTTAATCATATCCATAACACGCGTGTCAAACAGTAGGGTAGGCGGAGAATACGTACTTACATATGGCAAGATTCTGATTCATCTCTCTCGCTTCCTTTACATACATACGAGTAAATGCTCGTTAACTAAGGGATAGTCTTAATTTGGCTTATCTTCGATTTACTTGATAAACTTTCGTCTAGTGCCCTGCCACTCACTTGTGCAGCATGAATTTGCCATGTCACTCTTTCCTCATTCATATTATCAACCGACTTCAAAAAAGGAGGATGTTCTCAATTCAACTGTATTTTTTTATTAGGATAAGGGTGACAAGCGAGCACACAGTCCACCTGATGGTAAGTGGTTGCTGTGGCCCATAGACATTTACATCTATTCTCGTTTGCCAATCAAAATGCAGATGCGTTGTCAGCCGTGAGGACTAAGATGGAATGCCTTGTTTCCAGTAAAAAGGGTCTCCGGTTCTCTACACGCACCATACGAAACTCGGTACGCTGACGTATCACTATGAATTTCT